GGTCCATGGAGAGAGATGGGCCGTGACTGCAGAGGGCTACATAGCTGCCTGTCTGGACCCTCGGGAATCTCTTTTGCTGAAGTTTCTAGCTGCCAGGAAGTGTAGGAATAAAAATACTCGTGTTGCAAATGGCATGCCTCAGTGGGAGTGTGTGTGGGAGCACATTCCTACAAGGGAAGAAAAATTCACACCAAAAGGAGACCTGCAGCGAGTGAGAAGAGGATGAGGGATTCAGCAGTGTTCAGCTCTTCAGGGGCAATGGAGAAACAGAAGTGAGGTGTTAGCTGTTGTCCTCTGGGAGGATGAGCAGGTCTTGTACCTGCTGAGCACAACCCCACTGTTCCTGTTGCTTTCCACGCGGTTTCTTGCTGTCATGATGTCTATGGAACAGCTTTGTATTGTAACCATGATTTGATCCTTATCATTGCAGCAGTTGTCAGGGTTATGGTATCACAACCGGACCCACCACCCTGATGTCTTTGCAGCTCAGAATCACCGCTCCTCCAAGTTCTCCTCCCTGCAGTGCAGCTCCTGTGACAAAACCTTCTCCAGCACTGCTGCTCACCGAAAGCACGTCAAGGCAGAGCACACAGGTAATGGCCCATTTGTTAGCGAACAAAAACATGTGGCGACTGCTGGGAGAGATGTAGTAATAACTCTGATAAGACAAGGTTGCACATCCTGTTTACCTGCAAATCACAGTAGATTTGTTGTATTCTGTAGCAGTCTCTTCTGGCAAGTCTCATCTCAGCATCTTGCAGCTCACTTGCTCTTGGCCTCTCCCATTCCTGCCTTACCTCCAAAGATGCTCCTCATGTCTGTGTGCATGTGTGGTGTTGCTGAAATATTAACAGAGCTCTGGTCCAGAAGGCCTCTTGTAGAAGACCTTGGGTGCACACTTTTCTGTTCTTGGCCTTGTTTGCAGATGTGAAGTTCCACGAGTGTGAGGCATGCAAGGAGCTCTTCCCCACGCTGGCTCTCCTGCAGGTCCATGTGAAGTGCAGGCACTCAGGTCTGTTACATTTGCTGTTGTTCATGTTAACCTTGTGAGCAATGACTGCTCCTCTCAGTGAGCGATGTCTGAGCTGTAAGTAGGAGAGTGAAGACAGACATAGGAAGCAGAGTGTGAGAAAACAGAAAATATGGATGAACTGGAAAAGCACTGGTTTTGGTGAGGCTGGGACATGTTTGTTAAGCTTCTGGAGCCACTGGAGTCAAGAAGGGATCTGGATTTGCTTGTTACAGCAGAGAAGAGAGCTAAGTGCAGGTGAGGAGGCATCAGCACAGAGAAATGAGGAACCGAACCCTGAACATGGGGGTTTGTGGAGGAGAGAGCTAGTGGAGACTAGGGAAAAAGGGAGTTTAGCACCAGAAAGATCAGAGAGGGACCTGGGCTTGGGGGGACCACATCAAGGGCCCTTTGGCAAGCGGGCAAGCTGAAGCAAGGCTGTGATGGGTGAACTGGCAGACCAGACTACTACGAAAGGTGGGTCCCCGGGGCTGTGCATGGGATGGCAGGAGAGGAGATGGATCAGGAGACATTGGAGGGGGCTGCCAACAGCAGCCTGGAGAGTGAGGAAGGAGAAGACCTAGGCATAGCTCTGTCTGAGAGGAGAGAGCCCCTGGGGTGGATAATGGGTTTGCAATAGCTGAATCAGGAGGTGCAAGCCAGGCCAACAAGCAGCAGTGCTGGGTGGTGCAAGGGAACAGGGAGAAGAGATGTTAGCAAGAAGGAACAGCCACAGCTACTGTCAGATACACCAGCCTAGTTTCTGAATGCCAGTGCGCTGCAGGGATCTGGAGCTAAAATGGACCTGAACAGCCACAAACTGTTTGACGGACAGTGGTGTAGCCAGGAGAAGGGACACTGGCACACGCCATGCCCTGAGTCCTTAGTGGGTTTCAGCCCTGTGTGTCCTGACCATTTGCAGCTCCCTGTGCCCTTGGTCTGGCCCTGGCCGTTGCAGCCCAGGCTCAAGGCAGTGCTTCTCCCTGCAGGCTCCCAGCCGTTCCGCTGCTTGTACTGCTCAGCATCCTTCCGCTTCCCGGGGGCCCTGCAGAACCACGTCACCACCGAGCACTTCAAGCAGACGGAGAGCACCTTCACCTGCGAGCTCTGTGGGGAGCTCTTCCCCTCCCAGGGCGAGCTGGAGGGGCACTACAGCGCTGAGCATCCCAAGGTGGTCTTCTCCCAAGCCACCATGGCCCAGATTGTGCAGGTAAAGACTGCTCGGTGCCGCAGCTCCCATGGTTGTTCATCCATCCTCCCCCTCCAACCCTCTTATTCTTCCCAAATCCACCCTGCAGATTCTGTGACCCCTTCTGCTCCCTGATTCCCCCTTCTTAGAGGGGTCCAGGATGCAAGCCCTCCAGCCCACTGTGCTCTGGGATTTCTGTGCTAGTGTGAGGTGGGCTCGCTGGAGGGGAAGCAGCTCAGTCCTGGTTTTCGGGAGCCGAGGAGGAGCGACTGACAGTGTATGCAGAGGTTCCTGGTTACTCAGGCTATTAAAACCCAGATGACATACCCCATGAAATCATAGCTGTTTTGTTGGAGGCCAAATGCTAGGCTTGAACCCAGACTCTTTCTCTTCAATATCTCAGCCATCAGTGGAGAACAGCTCCTTGGATGAGGGAGCCCAGTGTGCAAGATTCCCTGGGCTGGCATTCCTCCAGTGGATAATCACAGAGTGTTTATTGTCTACAACTGCTTATGGAGCTAAATTATAGCAATTCTGTGGGGAGAAATATTTAAATTACTCCCCTGTCTTCTGTTTTGCATCATCGGTGTGTGTGGTTTGGTGCTTCCCATTAGTCTCGCACCTATTGTAATTGCAGACCTCTGGCGTGAAGCTAAATGTTATTAGCAGAGCTGGGGCTGGGAAAGATGTGGGTAGCAAAGCGATTGTGGGGAAGGCAGTGCTGTAAGTGTCTGACTGTCATGTCATCTTCCACGCAGGTGATTCAGGCGTCTGAGCAAGGATCAGCAGAGCACATCATCTCTTTTGATGAGGCCCAACTCACTGGCTCCCAAGTCTTTGTGACGTTGCCCGAATCCCAAGTGAGCCAAGCTGGCTCCGAGCTGGTGGCAGTGACCATGGAGGACTTGTTTGTTGACAAAGTCACTGTGATTTGTGAAGAAACCAAGTGAGAGTGAGCAGGAGCCCGTGTGTGGCACTTGATATCCACTGGACTGGTTCAGGAGCGGTACCTCATCGTGCTGCTCTAGCAGGGAGATTCAGGGTTTCTTTGGGAAAGCAACCCGGGTGTGTGATGCCGCAAAAGAAATGGCATGCAGCAAGCACAGCGTGGCCAAGAACAGAAGAGGTTTATAGACATTCACAAGGGCCTGGGAAGTCTCCCTGCAGTCAGCAGCTGCCAGCTCGGGTGAGCTGGACCACCCATCCCTCCTGGCTCAAGAGAAATAAAGAAGCAGAGGAAAAGATGAGAATTGGGTGTGTTCATGTGTGTTCCTCCACTGCTGTGAACAGAGTGGAGTGGAGGAGACTAGTGCAGGACAAAGTTGGGGTGGTGTGGGTATGTGAAACCAAAGAAAAAGCTGTCCTGAGAATTCAGGGTGGAGATTTTTACGGCTGAATCAGTGATGTGCTTGCAGGTATCTGCTACTCTGCAGGGTGAGTAAGGGCTGCTTTGTTTCTTCTCTTGCTCTCCCCTGTACCATTGTTGCTGCCTGTTGTGCCAGCTGGAAAAGTCCCCCAGTGCAGAACTGACATGCGGGCCTCTCTGCTCGAGCAGAGTCTTCTTGGGAGTTGTTGATAAACGGCTTTGGAGCTGTTTAGGTAATACCTTGTGTAGCACAGGTCTGATCCCATCCACGTTTTCGCTACAGCTGTCCGTTACGAAGGAGGGTCACAGGCAGGTCTGAGCATCCACGTCCTCTTTGTGAGAAAAGAGCCCTGACATCTCCCACCCCTCCTCCAATTCGCCAAGGACGTGCTGAAGCTGCCACATCTGAGAAAGGAGAAGGAGCTGTGCCTGCATGCCAGGGCCCGTCCTTACTGGTATCAGTGGATTTGCACTAATGAAGGTTTTTCTGTCTGAGTGTGTAATAGCTGCTCTCACTGCACATAGACGTTCCCCGTGGCACACAGAGCATTGCTTTGTAAAATGCATTCAGATACCTACTGTAAAGTTTGTTTCTCTGGTGCCAGCATGATGCAACAGCTTCATTGCAGCACAGTGGCCCCTTTAAGGCTAAATTTCATAAAGCTTTTTATCTGCAGTTTCCTAAAATATAATCTGATAATTAATGGTTTGCTGAATCCATTATGAAGTGCAATTAGATAGATGCAGGGTTCCTGTGGCTCTGAGGGGACTGGTAGCATTTATCTTCTTTTCCCTCATGCCAAAAGGTTGAACTCTGCCACTGCGATATTTACATACTGAGCGGTGATCCCCGCCGCATCTCGCAGCCTGAGACCCTGCAGCGAGCAGTGCCCGTTTTATCACGCTGCCCAGAGCCATGGGAGTGCAGGAGATGAACAGATTGGAGTTTTTCAACAGCATCTTGTGCTGGCTGCTCACAGCCACCAGGCAGAGATGGTCGTACAGGAGCATGCCAAGGTGGTTGTGACAGTGAGATAGTTTGTTGTTCCTGTTTCAGCTTGGAGAAAAGAAGTGAGCAGCAAGGGGTGACCGCAGGAGAGGGGCTTGCTGGAGCTAATGTTCTGCATGGTATTTTCTTTTGTCTATGTGGCAGCAACCATATGACCCTGTTGAAGTGCTGCACTTGTCGTGAAGTGCCCCCACCTTTCTCTTCCTCGGTTGCATGCACGGTTTGTCCCCCAGGCTTTGTGGTGACAGTGAAATGGAGGAAGCATGAGGTTAAGTTGCCACTGAGTCCAGGAATGACCAGGAGATGGTGCTCAAGATCTTGAGGATTAGTGCTAATGGCCAGGTGCTTCTGCACCTTTGCTGAAGCTCCTCTTAGCCTTCCCAGGCTTTACCCAGCTCCTGGGCTGGCAGGCATGGAGAGACCTCGAGCCACTGCCAAGCTGGACAACTTCAAGCCCTGGACAGGACACCTCCAAATCCTGGATATCGCTGCTTAAAGAAGAGCCTGAAACTGCGCTGTGGCTGCCTGTGGAGAGGGTAAAATACATCTGTTGCTGAGGTGGAGCAGCAGAAAAGCCTGGAATCCCCCTCGGCCAGGAGGAGAGCAGAGGGGGAACTGCTGGAGACCATCTCATGCCTGCCTGGACACAGAATAGCTGTGCGTGGCACTTAGGATGAGTGCAGGGGTAATGACAGAACAAGCAAGTACGACTTGATGGTCTCAGAGCAGGTATGTTGGGAGGTAAGCGGTAGATTTTATCCCACAGGCTGGTGGAGATGGAAACTGTTCCCCCTTTTCTGGCTCCTTGGGGGCTGGGAGCTGTGGATATCCTGCACAGGCTGTGTGAGTGCTCTGGAGCAGGGGATGAATTGTCCAGGTGATGCTTTGCAGATGTCCTAGCCTTCATTTGGGAGCCAATATCTGCAGGAGCGCTAGATGAAGCTGATCTCCCTTTTTTCCTTAAAAACTCTGGAGGAAGAGTAAAGGTTTAGGGAGAAGTTGCCTTATTTATAGCCCTCTCATAAGGCAGAGGGAGCTTAGCTAGGGAAGAGCATGCAAATGATGCATTGTGGCTTTGATCCGTTTGGTCCCGGTTGACTGAGTGTTGTCACAGTTGAAGGGGGACGGTGTAGATCGCACATCAGGTGCAGTTCAGGCTCACGTCTCCTGTTCAGGGCCATCTCTCCTGCCTTTGTGCCCAGCCAGAGCCTGCATGGGCGTATTCTGAGCACAGTCCTGCCAGCAGTATACGCCCAGTGAGAGCTCTGCAGCAGTACAGAGACCATCAAGCATCTCCTGTATCATTATGAGGAGATAATAACTCGGATCCCCCCGTTCCAGCTCCTTCTTGATGGATGAAATATGCACTTCAGAGCAAATTGCAGTGTTAGCAACACCTATGTCCTACCCGGAAGGAAGATGTGTTTTCCAGGGCACGTCCTGGTCTGGTGTGCACAACGCTGAAGATGCTGATCACTAGCGATTTCTTGTTATGCTGCATATTCTTTTTTTCTCTGTAAAAATAAAACATGGAGAATGAAAGATGTAGCTGCACAGTGTCATGTGAAGCAATTGATGGGAAGGAAAAATCCTTATTTCTGAAAATGTGATTTTTGCAGGTCTTCTCCCAGGTGCTGAGTGACCCATTGGATTATGTGGGGTCCTGTGCCCCTCTTGACCTTGGTGCCATCCTCTGTAAGGAAGCGGAGGAGCTATTGTCAGGTCAGGCTGGAGCACAGAACCATCCTGCCCTTCACTGTGTCCTCCTGTTGCAGGTGCCAGATGCTTTTGGAAAAAGGGCAGAGTGCCTGTAACAGAAGCCTGGAGAGTAACATCCCATGGAGGATGTTACATCAGTTAATGATTTATATATCTCCATGCATTAATTGGTGCCATTTAGGGTGCAGGATTAAGCTTGTGACTGTGACAGTTAGGAAATGTCTGTTTTCTGCACAACTTTCATTCTGACCCAGTGTCTGTCCTATTCACTGAAGGATCCTTTGGAAAAGGCAGGATGGTGCCAGGTACGGCAATGGCTGTGAGCAGCCCTCACTTGGCATTTCCCAATGCAGAGTGTAATTTTGCAGCCCCAAGGTGTTATTTTAACACAGTATATGCAAATTCTGTGCTCTGGGCTTTGGTTTGTTTGTTTTTTTTTTTTAAATCCAACCCATCTGTGAGTAGGTACAAAGATGCTGCTGCCTTGCCCAGGAGCGAGGGATGGAGGTGGCGGGAGCACGGAGAGAGCTTGGACGTTGCTTGAAGCCTCTCCTGGGGGAGAGAAGGATGAGAGCAGGTACCAGCGGTCTGAAAACCCTCCGTAAGAGTCGGGCAAGCCCTGGCAGCCTCTGCACCCCGGCTGATGCTGATGTCTTGGCAGATTTCATTATCGGTCTGGCAGGCTGCCAGCACATCCCCAGCGAATTCAAGCACTGGAAAAGGGAAGCGATGTTTTCAACGGCCTCCAGCTCAGCAAATGCTGAGTGGTGTTTCGCAAGGCAGAGACGAGATGCTTCAGCAGCCAGAGGGAATTCCGTCTCCCGAATATCGGTGGTCTGCTGCAGACGGTGAGAGCCGAGGCGCTTCCGCGGGAGATGGGCTCAGTAACCTTTTGTAATGGGGAGGAGCAGGCTGGCTAATGGAGGGGGCTCGGCTGCCTCTCCAGCATCGGTTAATGCGTCTAATCCCCCAGCACCATCAGCTGTATGGTGCCTCGTTGCAGTAAGTCACCACGATTCCTAATTTCCTGGGTTAAAACAGTAACTCCTTTTATTGGGTCTCCAGCCAGCCTTTCGCACACGATGAGAGCACAAGCAGAAGCTCTCACTTTGCCTTCCCTGCACCATTTATGATCACTCAAAGCAGGAAATCTGCCCAGGTTTCTAATCATATTTAGGCAAGCCTGATAAAGTGAGCTAGCTCTTAGTCTATTTAATACGAGACACGTAGATGCTGTGTAGTGCCTGCTGTTAAGTTGATAAATACATATATAGCTCTCATCTACAAGCAGGAGTGGGGCTGGGAAGTACCCATGGGTCAGACCATGGCACCTGTTTTCTGTGACCAGCAAGGAAACGGAAAGTCCTTGCCGGCAAAGCATGCAGGTGAGACAGAGGCTGGAGGAGCAATAAGGAGCAGTGGGGATCCAAACTGCCTGGCACGCGAGTGCAGTCGAGCTGTGTGCATCTTAGCATCGCTAAATGTCAGGCTGCGTATCTGGGAGGAGGTGATGCTGGCCGTGTGGAGAGAGGAGGGGACTGCGGTCAGGATGTCTGAAAGCATCCTGAAGTCTGCTGGTTGTAACCAGGGGTGTGCGGAGCTGTGAGTGATGTTCGGGGGCTTTAGTAGCTGCTTTTGGCAGAAGTTGGGAGATGTTTACTGCTGCCCCCTGCTCTGAGCATTGCTGCGACTAGATGTCATTCCCGTACAGCTGCTCACCCACAGCAGCGTGTGGCAAGTAAATGACAAACTGGAGGCTGTGCAGGCAACAACTACCAGCACAAGTCAAGGGCTGGAAAATCTGCCTTACTGCACTAGAGTGCAGGAGCTCTAATTGCTCAGCGTGGCTAAGGAATGACCTGGTGGCAGCCTTCACCCCCCTGTGCCAGGGGACTGTGTTTGCTCCTGTCTCTGTACTCTAGCAAAGGCAAAGTGCTGAAGGGCATCGATGCTAGTAAGAGTCCATCTGTACAAAGCACAAATGCTTGTATTGCCTTATTTCCCTTCCCCTCTTGGGCACCCTTGAGATGCCCGGCTTTGAGGGCAGTCCAGACAGCGACCTTTTCACTTCTGACGGGAGCAGTCGATCCTTGTCTTGTTCCTGGGGAACTCAGGGTCAAGTTTGCTGGCCGATATTTCCTTCATCCCCTGGATCAGGGATACTTAGAGCCCTGCAGCATATGGGCAGTCTGGTCTGGGCAGGCTGTCTGCTTGCATTCTTCTCTGTGCTTCCCAGACCTTCTCCCACTGCCCCAGAGCCTCTTGCAGATGGGGAAGGCTGGCCAGGATGGGTCTGTGGTACACATCCTCACTTGGAGCACGAAGTAGCTGCCAACAAATGGGTCTGTCCAGATAGATTAGATCTAGCTTGGTGCCGTGCAAAATTGTCTCAGCCCACAGGTCTTCCAGCCACTGGAGGCTTCCTGCCAGAGATGGAGTTTGCTGTCCTCCTCTTGGCTGTAATAAGGTGAGCAGAGCCCTGCCTCAGATTTCAAACTGCCTGTGGAGATAATCCGTGCCCCTCCAGCTGTGCTGAACCTGCTAACGGGCATGATGATGGCTTTCCCTGACATGCGAATCTGGCTTTCTCTGCCCAAGGAGGCCAAGGCCATATGCCACTTGCTCCCTGGCGTTGGCTTTCTTGGCCAGCACTTTGGTAGGGAAGGGTTGAGCTCCAGTCCTTGCCATCCACCCTCATCCCTCCGCTCTGCTGTGCTTCACCTGGACAAGGTTTCCCTGCAGGTTCACCCCGTCCGTCCACCCACCTTCACCCGGGCTTTGTCATCACCCAGAGCATCTTCCCCAAAGCTCATCCCACGGAGATGGTGCATCTCGACATACACTTACCATGAGCTGAGCCCCATGCAGGGGTTTGCTGTCTGTAGAGACTACACATGGATGCACACCTGGAAAGTTGTCTCCCGTTGCTGGTAAATAAGTCCCATTCTGGCCTGGGTGGAAGATGGGCCAGACATCTGGAAGGTACCCCTTGGCAATTACAAACATGTGGGTGGTTCCCTTTATCCAACTTGCGTTGCTTTCACTTGTTCCAGCCCAGAGGCTACAACTGAGACAGTATTTACAGCAGGGCCTCCCTGTCAGTTGGTGCTTAATGCCATAATACTACATTTGTTTAGCTTATTGCACTTCAAACCTTAAGTTGTTTCTTTTGTCTCTGATCATTTAATAGTTCTTGTTATTGAGCTGTCCAGTGACACACACGGGGCTTTTTCCAGCGTGGCTATAGATGATAGTGAATTTGGCGATACGCAGGAGTAGGTCAGATGGTCCCTATGGTGTGCGTGAACTTCCATTTATCAACACTATGTTTCCCTTGCAGCGAAACTGGTCTCTGTTAGCAGTGAATTCCCTCTGCAGCTCCCTACAGCCTCTCTCATCGACTAACCCAGATAATCCTCTGCTACCTGCTACATCTCAGTAGATCTATTAAACGCACGAAAGTTCTGGTGTCCTTGTGCGTAACCAGGGTAGGTTGCAAGATTTTAAATCCCCCGGTGCAGGATACTGTCAAAGTTTTATTGAAAGTCTAAATAAATAAACCACTTTTACTCATCCATTTCTCAGTGGTTCGAGAGGGCTTTTCTTTTTTAGAGGTGAGGCATTGCTGTTCACTTGATGGGCTAGTTCAGATTATCAGTGATACAGCTGACCAGGAGTTGATGCAGCTGATGGGACCCTGTGGTAGGTGATTGGATGTGGGATCCCAGGAGCTTTGCACAGTTGGGGTTAGGTCTGCCTACGGCTCTAGTGGAGGATGAGGACAGGTAGGACTTGCTTTGGGGGTTCACAGTGACTTAATTTCACACTGAAGAAACCAAACCATCAGCCCTGCTGTGTGTCCAAACTCTCTTTGCCTGTGTCCCTCTGGGATATGCACAGGCGACTGCCGAGCTTTGGCAGGCTGTGTCCCCTCCTCCGCTTAGTCTTAGGAGGGCCGGCAGAGCAGGTAGCACAGAGAGAGCTTTACTGCTGATACTTCTCGTTCCTTGTGTGCTGGTACCTGTCCCCCCCTTCCCATTTCTCACTGCAAAAGGCTGTACGGCTCCTGCATGCCTAATGCAAACATTGCAGAAGGATGATTCAGCACTTGGTGGAGAATTGCAAACTCCTGGGAGATTATTTTGAGCATCTTGGAGCGGCTCTGGGAAGTGATGGGGTGATCAGGGTCCCTGCGCTCCTCCATGTGTCAGCCACGTCCCCATGTGGCCGCGTGCCCGAGCAAATGTGGCACGCAGCCCTGGGACAGCCTGGCACGCTGCCGACTGCTGCGTTCCTGCCTCTGCAGCCTGCCTGGCTGCTTTCCCCCTGCCAAAGCTCTGCAGCCCCAGCAGGGACCCTGAGCTCCCCTTTCCCCTCCGGGGAGCAGGCAGCTCACCTTGCAAAAGCAATTGAACACAATTTCCTTTTACAGTGTCACAAGCCCGTTCCTGGGGCTGTGCTTATGCCAGGTGCTCGCAGGGAGAGGTCTCCTGTTGGGAACAATCGCTTCCCCTGGGCTGGAGGGGGGATTACTCAGACCTGTTATTTGAGGGGGGACGAAATGGTGTTGGTTTAAACATGAAAGCAGCCTGGCTGTCTCCCGCGATGGGAAGCAGAAAGACTCTGAAAGCGTCTGGGATCAATGGCCGCAGTTCAGGGGGATGTATGCAGCCGTTAGCTGGTGATGGGCTCCAGCAGGGGCTGTAGGACCTGCCTGACCCTTGAGGACACTGGCTGGGCCCTTAGAGCTTGGATATTGGCATCTCCAGCGCTCCCTGATTCCCCAGAGCACCTCTCCTGGCTTGGCCC